CAGCTCCTGAGGTGGAGCATTAGAAGTACTACAAACTATCAATATGCCACCTACTTCATGCAGATATCTAGGCACAACATGGATATCCTGTTCTACAGTCACTCCATTGGCTGCCTGTCCATTACTGGGCTCAATTCAAAGTATTGGTTATCACATAAGAACAGAACATAAGAGACGCCAATGTTGGATCAGGCCAAAGGCCCATCCAGTCCAACACTCTGTATCACACAGTGGCCAGAAATACCAGGTGCCATCAGGAGGTCCACCAGTGGGGCCAAGGAGCCCCCTCCCACTGTTGACCCCCCCCAAGCACCAAGAAGACAGAGCATCACTTGCCCCAGAGCCCCTATCTATACCTTGTGGCTAATAGCCACTGATGGACCTCTGCTCCATATGCTTATCTATTTCCCTCCAAAGGGGCAAAATTTACCATGCACATGCATTCTCTGAAGTGCCCCCCCCCCCTTATAGACTGTCTGCCTGGTGAGGTTAGGAATACAAGCAAGAGGGCTGTACTGTAATGAAATGATTCAGAAAGATGCTTTGATAAAGGAACAGGGACTGTAAGACTATATTACTGCGTACTGTCTGTTGGCTATAAGTATGCTCCTATTGTGCCGTTTCTGCATCATTTTAACATGTCATGTTTAAATGCTTATGCTTTGTTTCAGCTCAGTTTCAGATTTCTGCAATCCAACCTTATTGCATTGTTTACTGGATGTCCCATCCTGTTGGTTGCATTGATTTATTCTGTGTAATCCACCTTGAGTCTCAGTGAGAAAGACAAACTATAAATTATGCAAATAAATAAATAAGGGACTCACAACTATGGTTTAAATGCATTGTATGCATGCCGATGGCTTGCGGAATAACCACGCAGTGTGCCAAGGAGCCCCTGACCTACAAAGCTGAGAGGGATAAAACAAAACTCACAGTGGGGCCAAGTTCCTACAGACCGCTTTGTGGATTCTGAAGGGACTCCCCAATGCCTCTGCCATAATTCAGAGGGTTCTTCTCAGCCTGTCTTCTCCTCAAGCACTAGGCGACAGGAGCTGTGACAATAGTGGGTCAGAGTCCCTTTTGCTTTCTCCATCTGGATAATGAGTGCTGGTCCCGCTGGGCACACACATCCCTGCCTGTCAATTTTCTCAGCCTTTCACATGATAAATAAGAACAACATTGATCCCAGTGGAGAGGAGCATTATGGAATAGTTCTTTCCCGTTGCTAAGCAGTGTGCCCATAACAAAGGATAGTCTATGGGGAAAATGATAGAAAGAAGTAACTGTATGTATTGATGAGTACTCCAGATTGGGAATGGGAAGTGAAGACTATGCAGGGCTTGGGTGGAACAGCAGTGCTGTGGTTTAATGAGCCAAGGCATTGCTTACGCCTGGTGGTATTTGACAGCAGCCGAAGGGCCAGTCTGTGCTTAATTCCTGAAGCTCCAATTTTCAAACTTGTGCCCTAATGACAAGAGTATTGGAGAACGAAACAGGGGAAATGAGAAGTTTAAAGTATTATTTCCAGGTTTCCTGAGTGGCGGGGCAGGGCTTCTCCATCAAAGAGCCCAATTTTGTTTGCAATGTGGTATTAACACAGAAGTGTCTCACAGTGGGCAGGTAAAGATCATTAGTCAGAGTGCAAATTACTGCCACATTTTGAAAGTTGTTCGTAGCCACCCTGCATATTAGAAACACTTCCTTCGCATTTCTGTAAAGTTCATATCCTCGTTTCCCAGCTGAAAAATATAGCTGCCAGGAGCAACTAGGAGATTCTTCTTTTTACCATTCACACAAGCCCCACTACTAACCCCAGTGTCACATCCTTCAGAACAGTGCAGGGGAAAAGAGTTCCTCAGCACTGTGATCCCAATTCACCCACCTCCCCCAATTCAGCATTGTAAGCTAACTATACATTGGGGATCTGGTCCTGGACCCCTAACATAACACACCTTTTGGCCATTAGAGACATTAAAAGAGCAAGTTGTTTATGCACATTGCACGTTTGAACATTATAAAAAATCTGGAATACAGATTTTTTTCAAATAAATAAATACAAATAAGCCACATTTGGACTATTGCTAAGTGCCTTCTCCCACTGATCTTTCTCTTTTTCTTTGTCTATACTGTAGGCCATGGCTCTGCTACAGGACATTTTGAATGAAACAAGCAACATGAAATCAAATACAGCCAACTTGGAGGAGGATGTACAAAAAGTCAAGGATCACTTAGCCTTGGTAAACTATTCCATGCTTCTTATCTCCTGCTGTTGAACTGCATACCATTTCTTCCCTGTAATTCCTGGGAGTTTGATCATCTTTTAAAGAGATATGTTGTTGTTTTTTTAATTGCTCCTTACTTTTTATATGTTAAAATTTGTTTACTTTTTCATACATAAAGGTAAAGGTTCCCTTGCTCGAAAGCCAGTCGAGTCCAACTCAAGTTCAATAACCACTAACTTGGGAAAAAATTCAAGGAGCAGTTTCATATTGTTGGAAGAGCCTGAGCAGTACCCTTTTACAAGCACAGAAGACGAGCCTTCCAGACGTGTCATGAAAAGGGTGGCAGTGCCTGGTGTCTTCTGCCACTTAATTCCTCTTTCAAGAGTAATATCATTCATTCCCTGTTCTGGATAGCCCAGGATAGCCTCATCAGGTCTCGGGAGCTGCGGAGTTCAGAATAATACATTAGACCACATCCTGGACAGGTCCTGAATCACTAGACTGTTTTATGCAAGGCCACAGGTTGTGAGCCAAGAACCCTTTGGCTATTGCCAAAGACTCATGCCTCTGGCCATGCCAGAACAGAGGAGAATCACACTTAGCCCAGGTCTTATTCAGCAGCTACTAGCAAAATGTTCTGCAGCTTACTCCCCTTCTAGAAATGCCTCTGGCCACATGTGGATGGAGGAGGCAGAGCACCTCAGCTCAGATCTTACTGAGTTGCTGCTAGCAAGATGTTCTTTCTCCTTCCTCTCCATCTTCCAGGATAAATGAGTGTTTATTTATCAAACACTCGTTAACCATGATGGATATATATCTGCTTGATAAACCAATAATCTGTGTTGTCTGTCCCAGTGGTAAGAAGAATCTTAGGACTGTCAGTCAAGTACACATTCTTAGTCTGAGACCATGGTTTATTTTAACAATGGAATCAACTGACAGGCAATCATTCAAGTCCTGTTTTACCTCAATAAATGCTGGTTTCATCTGCCAGGGAGACAGCTAGTGAGAGGCAGTGAAAGACAAGAGAGGTTTTGATTTTGAGCCACTGTGGCTATGACTATGGATAACCATAGTTAGGGCTGTAGTTAATAAACTAACTCAGATCCTGGTTTGATAATACCATAATTTACCATACTTTGTGGAGTGGGTTTCATTTAGACTATCATAGGTCCCGGTCACACGGGCCGGAAAATGCGGGGGGGAAGCGTGGCTGTTTGCCCCGGAGCAAAGTAATGTGCGGCAGCCCGATCACATGTCCCGTGGAGGTCCCGTGGGTATGCCGTTAGGTGCCGATCACACGACTATCCTGCAGTGCAGCATAGAAGCGGCGCGGCACGATCACACTGGCAATCGCTAGGCGCTGCTTCCGTGGCAAACGGGGGTTTTCCCCCCTCACCACAGTGTGTGCATGTGCTGGTGGGCGTTTGTGCGCATCCAGTGGAGATTAAAAAAAACACCATCCAGTTTGCGACGGGACATGGGTGGGCGCCGGATGCCACCGGATTCCAGGGGAAACATGATCAGACAGACGCCCGCCCTTGCCCCGCGTTTTCCGGAAACTAGCACATTGTATGTACTAGTTTTTTACTCTGCATCTTCGGCGGGAAGCCATGGGTTAGCCACGGATGCACTACACTTCCCAGATGTTGCGGTGTGATCACACCCGGAAAATCCACCTATCATCCATATCTTTAGTGTGGCAAATGCTCTGTGTGAATGGGGTCATAGTCAACAAATGTATGGTTTCACAGGGCATCTGAACTGTTAGTTGATTAATCATCTTAATTTTAATTGATTGATTAAAAATACACAGAAGTTATATCAGTAGCTCTAAGAATTGCTGGAAACTCAGTGAATTTACCATAGAGTTCCTGGCAATTCCTAGAGCTACCTGATATCACTTACAGGTTTTCCTGAAGCTCCCTCTGGTTGCTAGGCATGGCTTGGCAATTCTAACTTATTAACATATGAATAAAGTAAGTAGGATTCACTCTTTTAGATGGTGTGGCATCTTAGAAGAGGCGTTCCCTCCTGTGTTTAATGCCTGATTCATCTAGACTCTTTTTTAGTTAGTTTATAATAAATTGAATTTACAGAATAAGGATCTTGCCAGCAAGGGATTTTCACCCCTTACATTAAAAACATTTTCCAGTTTTTAAAATATTTGCTCTCTGGATTAGTCATGGGCATCTTTTTAAATCAGATGGATCCTTTTAACTGAGAACCAATTGGGTGATCACTTACCACCTGGCAGCATCCTGCATTTTGGGCTTAAGTTACCATTTGGCAAACAGCCACTTGTCTTTTGCCCTTTCCCACAGAATATGAAGGGTGTTTTTGTGCTCTTTGTACAGCATGTTGGGAGAGCAATGGCTCAGAGGTTAGGACGCTGCAGACCGGAAGGTCTGTAGTTCGGCAGTTCGAGACCCTAGCACTGTGTGACCGAGTGAGCTCCAGTCTCCGGCCCCAGCTCCTGTCAGCAGTTCGAAAGCAAGAAATTGCAAGTAGATAAATAGGTACCACTTCGGTGGGAAGGTAACAGCATTCTGTGTGCCTCGGCATCTCGTCATGCTGGCCACATGACCAAAGGAGACATCTTCAGACAGCGCTGGTTCTTCGGCTTGGAAATGGAGATGAGCACCACCCCCTAGAGTCGGATTCGACTGGCTTTCGATCAAGGGAAACCTTTACCTTTATACAGCTTGTTAGATGCTGCCAGCAAATCTGTAACTTAAAAATTCAGTTCTGCCACTGGTGGGTCTAAAGCAGGAAATGGGGGATCTGTTAAAGAACAGAAGAGGTACCCAGTTTGAGAGGAGCTGACCCCTTCCTATACCTACCATTTATCTCTTTGCAGTCTTGTCCTTTGAAGTGATCTTCCAGGAATGGAGGGGGGAATACCACCTCTGTGGGGAAACTGCAATGAGGTTAGCCCCAGGTGGGAAGAGGATTTAGCATTCTTTACTCACACATCCCGTTTGCTTTTTAAATTGCACCCTTGTTGCCTCATTTATATATGCTTGGAGCAGAGATGGGTTTGCCACTGTCACATCTACTTTGGCCTTTGGGGTTTGAATTTTTCCACAGTCCATTTTTTTTTTTGGTCAAAGTGCAAAACACTCCCAGGCCTCAGTATAGGCCTGGCAGCATGGACAGAAATTGCTCTGGGCTTTGGCAGCCCAAGTTGCGAACTGGCATACTCCTACCGGGTACTGGAGCTCCGTGCTTAATGTTGTGTCTTTTGAACAACTATGAATGCACAGATACACACAGAGAGATTAGTCCCTGAGAGTCACTCAGGTCTCTGAGGCCTCCTTTTGCTTTCTTGGGCTTTTCTTCTGATGCTTATGGGGTGGAAAAAATGTCCCCCAAAGCTGTACATTTATGGTAAACTGGATGCTTATGAACAACATTTTTGGCAGGGTGTTTCCCCAGTGCCCACCATCTAAAAAGTGTGAGGAAGGATTCCTCTTGAGTGCAGCCTTATTGTACATTTTAAAAAATGTTCATACTCGCAATTTACCTTTGAGCAGCTAGAGGTAATCCTGGTTGATAATCTAATTGTTTTCTCTTTCCTAATTATGCAGATAGACCCCCAGGCATTTGATGATCGGCTACGGTCCTGCTTAAGTGATCAGATGAGTTTGGATCATGATGTGGTATGTTGCCCTCGGTACATAAAAGAATAGTTTATATGCAAATCACAAGCAGCTGCTCCCCACTGGCAACCCTTAGGGCAGGGATGTTAAACATACGGTCCACGGGCTGTCGGTGGGGGGCTGAGTGGTAGGACCGGCTGCTGGGGGAGGGGGGAGGGAGGGGCTCTCCTTCCCGGTGGGGCTGTGACCACACCCCTGCCACCCTCCCACCACCACCTGGCACGCAGCTCCCAGGTGCTGCTGCGGCTGGCACCCTCTTACCAGCGGTGGGGTGCAGAGGTCCAGGAGATCCTGGGGGGCTGGAAGGCAGGCCGGGGCTCTTCCTGGGTGGCGGCACACAGCTCCTGCTCTGGGTCGGAGTGAAAACGCCACTGGAGGTGGATGCGGGTGCGCAGGTGGTGCCACAGGTGCTTGGGTGCCTTGGCCGTGCCAGCCCTGCGCTGGATCCGCTGCTCCCATTCCATGGGCACCATGCAGAGCTGGCCGGCCAGCACTGCAGCAAGCAGCTTTCCCTCCCTCACCATGCTGCTGGCCGGCCACTGCTGTGACCTCCCACCTGCCCACTATTTGTGGCTCTGCCGCTGGGTGCCATCCGGAGCAACGCCCCAGCCCGAAGCCGCCACCACCACCTCCGTCCTCCTCAGGCCAGCCCCAAACCCTAACCCTCTCCCGGCAGGCGAGACTCAGCCTGGGCAGCAAGCTGCAAGGAAAGCCCCTCTGCCCGCTAGTCGCTCCGCGGAACAGCCCGCCACAAGAGCCCGCCCAGACCACTGGCGCCCAGGGGCCCTTCCCAAGGGAAATCCCATTGGCAGCCTGGGCTGCTGTCCCCAGGGCCTGCAGGTGGGGACTGAGCCAGAGACCCCTCCTGTGTTCCCCACGTGGGGGCTTTTGGCCCCTGCACAGATGGGGAAGGGGCAGTTCCATGTCCTTCCCAAGGGGCTTGGGACAAAGTTGGTGGCCACCACTTCCAACGGCAGTTCTGACAATGTGCAACCTGGACAGCAACCTGGTTCTCTTCACTCAGCACAGGAAGGCTGAGGCTAAAACATCTGGGTCAGGCCTTGCCCAGAATCCCACTCTGAACATTCCAGGAGCCAAGCTGCAACTCCCCATCCAGGGTGACTGGATTGCACCCACAAGCTCTGTGCCTTCAAACACAAAGCTGCTTTAAAAGGTAAAGGTAAAGGTTCCCTTGCTCGAAAGCCAGTCGAATCCGACTCTAGGGTTGCGGTGCTCATCTCCGTTTCAAAGCCGAAGAGCCAGCGCTGTCCGAAGACGTTTCCGTGGTCATGTGACCGGCATGACTAAACACCAAGGCACACGGAACGCTGTTACCTTCCCACTGGAGTGGTCCCTATTTATCTACTTGCAGTTTCTTGCTTTCGAACTGCTAGGTTGGCAGGAGAAAGCTACTTTACAAAGTTGCTTTACAACCTTTTATGCCACTCACTATATTCTGACCAAATTCCACAACGGTGGGCTCACCCAATTCAGGACAAAATTGGTAGACATGTTAGCACATAAGAACATAAGAGAAGTGAAGAGCCTAAACCTCTTTAACCTTCCTTCATAGGCTGAGTTCTCTCTATTCCTTCAGGCCGATACGGCCACTGACCTCAATCTACTTTCTTCATAGGGAAAGTGTTCCATCCCCTTAATCATATTGGTTCCCTTTTTATGCACCTTTTCCTTTTGTGTTTTTGCATTTTTGTATGTGCACGCGTGTGTGCCCGTACCTGGAAGTCATGGCGACCCCTGGCAACTCCTACTGGGGCACGGAGGACATTCAGAGAAGGGGCTTGATAGTATTCTCTGAAGGTCTCCCATCCAAATACTTGCCAGGCTCAGCCCTGCTTAGCTTCCGAGAGCTGACGAGATCGGGCTTGCCGGGGCTATCCAGGTCAGGGCCTATGATATCTTTTTTGAGGTACAGTGATCAGAACTGTACACAGCATTCCAAATGAGGCTGCATCATAGATTTATACAGGGGCATTATGATACTGCATGATTTGTTTTCAGTCCCCTTCCTAATAATCCCCAGCATAGCGTTTGCCTTTTTTATTGCCATTGCACACACTGAGTCAACATCTTTAATGAGTTATCTACCACAGCTCCAAGACTGAGTAGCTCTAAGTCTACATGACCCATGATGCAGCGTGGGCCAAAGTGCAAGAAGCATGTGCGAGCTGCAGTCTGTCATCCCAGGCACATGGAACTCACTGCCACAAGATGGCACCTAGCTTAAATGATGAGCTAAACAAATCAGTGTTAAATAAACTCCTTTGCATGTCTCTTTGCATGTCTATGGTGGTTTTGAAGAGAGTCAGAGGTGCATCTAGTTATTCATCCAAGCGCCCTAGCCAACATGTATTAGTAATTTCAGCCCTTACTTGATCCTTCATCTGTCTTGGCACATCTGTGGTGCTGGACCAGCAAATTCTATGCAAGTCTGCACACGGAGATGGATTTTTCCATAGTGAGTAAATCCTGCAGTTCACTGGTGCCTGTTTTGTTCACCATTTGCATTCTCAGTTTTGTGCAAGTGCTCCTATCTCATAGAACTAGAAACTGCTGCACAAATGCACCTTCGGTGGGTTGTGCAACCCATGCCAACAATGTCACCATGTGAGCTCAGCATATTGGTGGCTTATAAAATAGACTGCATAGAATTAATAAATTCAGCCCCCCTACCACACACACACACACAGTCCTGTTGCACACTTGCCCTTAAATAACATTGTTAACTCGTAGTTAAATGGACTTTTCAACTAGGGGCTGGGAGGTTACCAGGCTACCTGATATCACTCAGCAACAGGGGTCCCTTAATGAAGAGGTAGTCAAAAAGAGCTAGTATGGAGATCGGATGGTAACATTTTAATGTTTTTGTCTCTATTTAGAAAGATTTAGAGAAAAGGCTAAGCCGATTTCCTTCCCCAGAGGAAATGAACAATATGGTACGCTGGGAAGTTCTGGAGGATGTCCTTTTGAAAGGCAAGAGGAGCCCGAGTCCTGTGAGTATAATTTCTCAGACCAAAAGTTCGTTGAGAGAGAAGAGTTTTTCATGTGTTCTTGATGGTAGATACCAAGACAAAGTGCACACACCCCTGTATATTATAAATCTTTTTCATGGTTATGTCTTCATATATCTATATATCTAATAGCCAAGGCTCCCCCTGTGAGCGGATATATAAATACGCACATCGGGGGCACCTAGGGGGCAAAGAGATTTTCCTGCACATTTGGGACAATCCCCAGATGTGCAGAAAAATCTGAAAAGTTGAAAAAAGTATACAGGGGATATTTAAATCCCCCCAAAAGTAAAAGCCTTCCCTGCACATGCGCAGAGAAAGCACTTACCAATAGGAACTGTGGCTGCTGGCGGCGGCGGCGCAGGAAGAGAAGCCTTGGCAGCTGGTGGCTAGGAGCCGCGGCCATTGCTGGGGGGGGGGAACTGGCCGGCCCAGTGGCTAGGAGCCACGCGGGGCTTCTCACCCTTGCTGCTGGCGGCAGTCGCGGGGGGGGGAGGGAGAAGAGCCGCACAGGGCTTGCCGCCTTTGCTGCTCACAGCCGTGGTGGTGGGGGGAGAAACCTTGGAGGGCTGGTGGCTAGACTCAGCTGCAGCCGTTGCTGTTGTCGTTGGGTGGGAGGGGAATCCAGGTGAGCCCAACGGACCACCTGCTGGTCTCACCTGCAGCTGCTGCCATGTCCTCCTCTGCGCGGAACTCCTGCTGCTTCTGTGGGTGAGCATAAATCCACTCGCCGCCTGAACAGGGAGGGTTAGGAATGCCCAGCCAGGCCTTCAGGGTGAAGTGGTCTGACCATGGGTCCATATCAATGGCCACCAGATCCACATTTATCCCTGCCGCCAAAATAAGATCTAATGTGGCCTGCTTGATGTGTAGGAGCCGATACAAGCTGGGAGAGTCCCAGTGCCTCCATGGATGACATGGATGGAGTCCAGTGGCACCTACAAGAGTAGCAACAAGATGGCCTGAGAGGAGATCGCATCATCGGCATGAACATTGAAGTCTCCCAGAACTAATAGTCTGGGGTACTCCAAAGCCCACCCAGATATAGCCTCCAACAAGCCCGGCAGGGTATCTGCTGGTGTGTTAGGTGGTCAAATAGCCAAACACTCCTCAGCTTCCCACATGAGGCCAACACGTTCAATGCATATTTCTTTGGTGCGGGGAGCACCCTGAAGGAGAAAGACTCCTGGATAAGCAATGCCACAGCCCCCCACCCATTGGTCTGGGACTGGTGGAGGACTGAGAAACCTGGGGGGGGGGGTAAGTTGGTTCAGGGTGACAGTCTTGCCATCCCTCACGGTCATACATGCCAGGTCTATTTGTTGGTCTACCAGGTAATCCTGGAGAACAGAGATTTTATTATTGATAGACCTGGGATTTCACAATACCAGTGTCGGAGAAGGGTATACATTCCTAGCTCCACAGCCAGCATGCCTCAGGATGGGACGAAGGCAGGAAGGGGACTGATCATTACCATATCTCAATTTCCTTCCCAGATATCGCCTTGTCCCACCATCATACCTCCCCCACCCCTCTATCACTGGGATCCCTGACCCAGACATGGCCCACCCTGCCAGATATTATTGGTCCAAAACAAGACCCACTAAGCACCTGCCAGTGACTATCAGGAGCAAGAGTAATAGCCCAACAATATCAGATACAATACACACTAGAATCTCAGCCCAACCCTATCAAACCACCCACCCTACCAGAATACAAATACCAACCACATGCAAAGCCCGATTTTCCTGGGATTCGACCTATAGCCTGAGATAGCCGCCTAAGTTGATCTAAAAGAGCAAAAGCCGACTGCAAATACAGAGCCTGAGCTGTGAATTATTTGATATTGATACTAGCATTTTAATAAGAATAGTCAGAATTGTTTTATTATTAATATGTTGTTACAGTATTTTATTGTAATTTTACTGTAATTTTATGCTGTTTTGTAAACCACCCTGAGCTGGCCCTGGCCGGGAGGGCGGGATAGAGATTTAATAAATCAAATCAATTGATTAATAAGCTAAAGAAAATTAAGAATTGCTATATCAATATAAGAATCCATTAATCACGTTACAAACACTAATATCTAATTAATTAATTTAAAGAACCCATTCCAAAATTAAGTCAATCCAAATCAATCAATTAGAGGAAACATCCAATTTGTAATTTATAGTAGGGATAATCAATATTCAGTTAATTAAGCTGAGGATGGAACAGTTTTTCACCTAAGAGTCAGTCCAATTTGTTGGGAAAGCCGGCAAGAAGAAGTCAAAATATCCACCAGCTAGTTGAAGCACCAGAACCCAGCACTGGATCACAGTCCAGGCCCCACACCTCTCCTCTCAGCGAGAGTCCTAGGCTCCCAGCGGAATAACCTGGGGGCAGGCAAGTTCAAAAAGGCCTCCCCTTATCCTACAGAGTCCAGACATCCTCACCAAATCCCCAGAGGGTGATTGGAGGGCCGTCTCCCGGTGAAAAGCCGTCTGTAGAAACGTACTTCCGACGAGAGCCTCCAGGCCAGCCAACATCGGAGTTGGTCAGGGCCAGGTCAGGCTTGTAAGGCATGTTGGAACCCAGGGACTCACTGGACAACAAGAAGGTAGGGGTGCTGCAGCAATGTGCATAGGAACGTCTGAGCCAGTCCTCGAGCCGCTGGCTATCACTGAGAAGATAATTGCCATGATGACAATGGCAACAGCAGCAAAGGAGGCCACAGAAGTAACACTGGATCTCAGACTGAACGCCATGGAAGGGATGAACGGCAACAACAACTGGGGAGATGGTAACAACACGGCCTAAGCCTGAGCCATCCACAGCCAACTCTCTGGTGGCAGCCGCAAGCAGGGTGGGGTCCACAAAAAAGGCTTCTGAATGGCTGTGCAGATTTTGAAAGATGTTGCTTTGGCAGAAGCTGCCTCCAGAACTCAAGGATACTTCACTGAAAGTAAGATGCAGCAGCCATTTTGTGTCTGACTGTACCTCCAGTGGCAGCCATTTTGTGGCGGTACCCACCATGCTGTGTCAGAATTCCAAAGGTGCCGACAAAGGCTGGAGACCCTTGCTCTAGACCTTGACATGGTGAACTCTACCACATGTCTGATCACCATTTTGCCCTCTAGTTAGCTAAAACACACAGGGCTTAATTCTCCCCAAGCCCTTGCTAAAGTTTTGTTCTTGCTTAGAACATTGTAAACCAGATTAAAATCTGATTTGAATGCCAAGGCTCCAACATAGAACATCAGGGTGAGGACAGCTGAAAGTCCTCCTGCGCAAGTTCAGAGCATGTTTGCTCTCACCACTGAGAAACCACAGAATGTTCCTATCAGGGCTTAGACTGAAGGACTTCCAGAACAGAGGGTGATATTTTTAGGCAGACTTGTGTCCTGGGTTCTCTTCTTCTAGCAATTCTGCATGGAAGAGGCAAGGCATAGAAATGGCACCGGGCAGCCCCATATGAAACGATTTCATGATGGCTGAGAATGACAGGAAGACCATTCTGGACACTGTTCTCTTCCCGGATGGTCTGTGTAGATGTCACTAGTTGGCTGTATAGCATCATCCCAGCAAATGGTTTCTTGATCTTTAAATTAGTTTCCAGCAGCCTTCAGAGAGCAAGTCTCTCTCTGTCTCTCTCTGTCTCTCTCTCTCTCCCCCTTACCTACCTTACAGGGTTAGGGTTAGAATAAAATAGGGGAGTGTACCAGTAGCTCAGAGTCAGAATCCTGATCTCCTTGGGAGACGAGCAAGCAGGCAGCACCATTGATCTGTATTTCTAACTGGAGTTGCTGAAAATAGGTAAACCACTTTTAAAACAGGACTGCAATAGTTTTTGGTAATGAGCAGATCCACACAACACACTTGAACTGGTTTTACTGACATTTTCTCTCTCAAAGGGTCCTGGGGACTGTAGGGCTACGTAGGAGTCTAGGGATCACTAACAGAATTCTCAGTATCCTTGGTGAACTGAAGTTCTGTGGACTTTTCAGGGAAATCATGAAACTGGTATAACACTGATGGTGACCAGATTTAGAGGCAGGTGACCCAAGCAACCTCTTTGGCCACCAGGCTTGGAGGGGGGGCAGGCTCAGGGTATGAACATCTCTCCTATATTATAAAAGGGTTTTGGGTGCCAGAATTCTAAAATGCACTCCTTTAGTGTTAGGCCGAAAAAACTGCCACTCGGAAGACACTGGCTGGGTTCATTGGCTGCTTTGTGCAGTCCCGCCCAGCGTTCCAAGGTCATTTACATATGGAAGCTGATTGGACTACATTCCACACCTCAAACTCACCCCCCCCCGCAAGGCAGTTGGAATTTTCAGTTGGGAGAGGAGAATGATGTCAGCTGCTCCCTAGGCAGAGGCTTTGTGTGTGTGTGTGGGGGGGGTTGTAAAACTTAAGACAGACAGGCAGATAGGGTTGCCAACTCCAGGTTGGAAACTTCCAGGATATTTTAGGGATGAAGCCTGCTGAGGGTGGAATCTGAGGAGGAGGAGGAAGAGGGGGACCTCAGACAGATACAATGCCATACTGCCCACACTCCAGACAAGCTGTTGCCAGTCTCCAGGTGACAGCTGGAGAGATCTTAAAGCTTTGGTGCTACTTCAAAGTTCCCCAGGAGCCCAAAACAGAGTAGTGTTTTGGAAAATCTTGAGGAATTGTTTGGTGCATTTACGATGGGGCTCCTGGGGAACTATTGTTGCCAATCTTGGCCCAGCAGCCATCAAACCATTCTCTTCAACCCCCTGCTGTGCAGCTGACTTCCCCCTAGGGTTGCCAATCTCCAGGTGGGACCTGGAGATCTCCCACTGTTACAATTGGCCGATGCCTCCGTCGCCTGGCTGGAGTGGCCGCGGGGGAGTCTGGAGTCGGGCGGCCGCTGGTGGGAGCCGCGGGTGCCCGGGCCGAGATTGGGGGGGCAAGGCGGGCGACAGAAGGCCGATGCCTCCGTCGCCCGGCCCTCTACAGAATCCACCCCCCAAACC